GTTCCAACACTTGAACATGTTTGATAATTCCACTACTACTTCAGGGATTTGAAAAAAAAGACGCCACTACCATCCCCTGTATGTTCTCCAGGTCCAAAAGGTGTTGTGCAGAACGCATTCTGGTCAAGCCACTGCCACCTCTGTAAGGTCAGGATACCAGATTTTTAAAATGTAGTATTTTTTTGTTCTTTTAAAGTTTGGCTAAATATTTCCTACAATCCTACCTTGTAGTCGGTGAGCACCAGTTTAGCAATTTTTGGGCGTGGTCTATCACTACCAGGCTTCTGCAATAAATAAATGGTATTTTAAAGATGGTAGTATAAATTGGGAACTGCAATTGTTAGCGGTTGTATCCTCGAAGGGGATTAAATTATCGTACAATTATTGTCTTCCTGAGAGGATACGTAAATCCCAAAACTTTCAAAGCTACATTTAAACCTACCATATTTTTAAACCGTAGTATTTTTGTTCTCTTAAAGTTTGGCTAAATATTGTCTACAATCGCCAGCGGCTGAAGGGATGGTGTAAATCCAACTAGAGTCACGCAGGTAGCAAAGGCACTGTAAGTCCCCATAGTCCCTGGTATGGTGATCTACCTTCAGTTGTTGGCGATATATAGCCTGTTTCTATATTGTATCGTCCTCTATAATTAAAGGGTTTAGATTTAATTACTAGTTTTAAATATATATCTGTGACAGTACTATTGGGTTTACTGTCCTTTGTCGACAGATATTTAAATTGATTACCTTGTGTCCATCGCTATATGGCTGTAATATTGCCGATGCCGATGTAAACAATAACTCGCTCACTCACTGTAGCGTCAGGATTATTTCGGACTCCAATCCGATATTCAGTTGCAATAAAAATCGAAAGTTATCATTTCAATATCCCAGTTTGCTGGTTGTCTCACACCACTGTATATGTTGTGTGTACATAACCGTGACATATCATGAGCGAAACTTCACGATGACTCTTGAAGATCCGGGTTAGTATCGGTCTTCAGCAAATCGTACCTGGCGTAGGAGACGACTGGCAGAATCGAGGCGTCAGGCCCCACGACCAGGGCCCCGTTCCTCAAAGCGATCGTAGCGCTAAGGTGATCGTAACTCCCACACTTTAACATAGACTTACGACTGTCGTAGCGCTACGATCGCTTTGAGGAACGGGGCCCTTGTTTATACCGCTCGTATTTCAATTCCCTAAATTGATTCATTCGCACCGGATCCATCACTGCATTGTCTGGTCCAGACTGCTGTTATACATTTCTTTGAGAGGCATTTCTGTTATACAACTGGAATAATAGCACGTGCTAATAAGTGAGGTCTTAAACAATTACACAATCAACAAATCAGTGACTGAGGCCATGAGTCACTACAATGATAAAAAAATGATTAAAATCCGGGCACACCTTCAGTCCGGAGAAAACGAAATCAAACAAATGTCTGTTTATGTCTGCGCTTTGTATCCCGACTTAATCAATTACGTATCTGAGGAGTTCAGGTTGAGGCAACGTCTCCTAGTCTATTATACTTAACTGTCTCATGTGTCAAGCAACGTTTTGCAGGTCACTATAACACCCATTTAAATGTTGGCTAGGCAGAAAGCTGATGAAGCCAGAGAGTAGACAAAGGACAGACGTGGAAGAGTTGTTTTCTTTGTTACATTTTACATCCAATATATATATACTTCCCCCTTCTTCATGTTCCATTATGCTTGACAACGGTACAAGAATCTGTATCGAAACGTCGCAGTCAAAAAAAGAAGTTGTTATCCATAAAGTTTGTTCTATTTTGTACTTCCCAACGTCTAAAATGCCACGTCGCACTCAAAAAAAGAAGTTGTTATCCATAAAGTTTGTTCTATTTTGTACTTCCCAACGTCTAAAATGCCACTCAAAGAAGTTACTGTACTCAATGTATCGGTGCCTGCTGCACATTATATAGAATAGTCAAGCGGTTTAGACAGAAGCGGCTGTGAAACATGTGATTTGAGTCAATGAGTATTAATCTGTCTAGACCGGCGCCATGGCAATTTGTACTTTAGACAGCGTGGCTGTAAGTGCTTATTGCTTTACCATACGATTTGCAATCTCGTGCATATTCGCGTGTTTCTCGTATCTCAGACTGTGTGACTATAATTAGAAAATGCTCATCTGAAGTTACAGGCTGCAGTGGTGATTATAATGTCTTGTCCACAGGGGCGTGTCGCGCTTAGAAACAGAGTTAGAAAGACATATATATATATATATGTATATATATGGTGATTATAATGTCTTGTCCACAGGGACGTGTCGCGCTTAGAAACAGAGTTAGAAGGATATATATATATATATATAAAGAAAGTGATGAGAATACCGAGCGTACAGTAGTACATATATAAGAAGAAGTTTTTGAAATAGGCACACGACACGGATCTTCTCCAACATGTTTCACTATTATCTTCAGGGAGAAGTGATTACAGTTAAACGGATTATGTTATGACGTCAATTTGTCATGACGTCACAATGCAACTGTATACAAATGTTGTGACGCGGCGTTGCCATGACGTGAAACTCACAAATATATATATATATATTTATATATCCTACCATATGTTATCCATATATACCATATATATGTTATCCATAAAGTTTGTTCTGTATTGTACTTCCCAACGTCTAAAATGCCACTCAAAGAAGTTACGCACTCACGGCGTTGCCATGACGTGAAACTCACAAATATATATATATATATATATCCTACCATATATTATCCATATTATACCATATATATATCCTACCCTAGTACTATATAAAAGGAAAGGGATGTAACGACGAAACCACCCCCTCCTCCATCAAAGTTAGATTTCACCATGTAAAATATTTTCGAGGCCCTGCCGAGGCGAGGCCTACGGATCAAAAGCTAGATAATGTCCCTACAAAATGAGCTATAAATTGTCACAATCGGATCATTATTTCAAAAGTTATACGCCACGACTCACCCAAAACAGCTTCCTCCGCAATTCAACGCAAAAATCATGGATCAGCCAAGAGAGCGAAAATTCACCTTTTAAAGTCGTTTAATAATTCCAGGCACGTTGACAGCACCAGTTGACCATGCTTGGAGCATTTGTGATGGTCAGCTTATCCCTATTCTGATGTCGAGAGATCCTGCTCCCCGTGGATTGGTTGAACTGTAATCGTGTAAATGCAAAAAGTCAGCATGCCAGCAGAAAGAATGATATAGTGTGTACAGAGGCATGTCTATTTGTATGGCTAATGATTTTTGCCCGAACACCTTTGAGTTGTTGCCAGTACATGACTCCGATTCTGACAGGGGTGAGTGAGTGAGTTTGGTTTTACGCACTCAGCAATATTCCAGCTATATGGCGGCGGTCTGTAAATAATCGAGTCTGAACCAGACAATCCAGGATCAACAACATGAACATCAATCTGCGCAATTGGGATACGATGACATGTGTCAACCCAGTCAGCGAGCCTGACAACCAGATCCCTTTAGTCGCCTCTTATGACAAGCATGGGTTATTGAAGATCAATTCTAACCCGGATCTTTACAGGTCCGATTCTGACATGAAGTAACATATGAAATGAAAGAAAGTGAAAAGGGGGGTTAATTGCAAGCTTTTGGATGTATCAAATGTGATTAAGAGTAATCTGATAGAACAATTTGAATACCTTCAACCAAAGCTTAGACGGAGTTATCGGCCATGAAACATAGTTTCCAAACACTTCTGGATAATGTTATTTCATCAAATATTTTAGGAGTGTGAAGATTTGATTGACAATATCATTGAAATGTTGCTCTATTCCTGTACTGTATTAAACATTAGACACCAAATGAGCTGTTTGGATTTCATATCAGTACAAATTTAGTCCTCCACTAAGTATATGAAGTTAAACTACAATGGCGGCCATTTCGAATTCTGGGTAATATGTAAACATTCCCAATAACATGCCGTCACTCTAGAAGTAAAGAGAAAACAAAAACAACTTGTTTTAGTAACAAAAATATGTTAACTGCCATTAAATAAGCTTGAACAACATTTTCAAGCATGATAACGCGCGGGCCCATACTGTCAGAGCTACACGGGACTTCCTACAGCAGAACAGTGTCAACATTATGCAGGAACCAGCCCTTAGTCCTGATTTAAACCAAGTTGAACATCTTTGGGATGAAATTCAGAGGAGACTGAATAATGTCATACCAAGGCACAGCCGATTTATTGCGCCATGCCTCTCTCATAGTGTGGTACAAGGTGCCAATGGCCGTCATCAATCGATTGGTGCACTTCATGCATAGACGATGTGCTGCAGTTATTGCCGCTCGTGGTGGTCACACTAGATACTGAAGTCAAGAGTCTGATTGGACTGCAAGCGTTCACGTAATGTCTTGGAATTGTGCTGAGTTATTCATTGATGTGTCAAGATGTTGTACACAAAAAATGTTTTAGATCCGCTTGTTATGTGCATTTCGGTAATGATTTGATTGCAGTGCCTATCTAATTTTGAATTCGTACTGACGTTTGTTTTGCTGCTGAGTATATATACATACTCAAAAACACACCAATGTGCCTCTATTGTTTGTTTAGACATCCTTGAACATACTACGAATGCAGATATTGATTCAGTCTGTTTTCTTTGCATAAATGATGACAGTTGGGTGGTGTTGTGCAGTGCTAGCTGAACAAACTCTTTTTGCGAATATACCACCAGATCAATTCTTTCGTTTTGAGTTTAAAAACCTCCATACAAGGGATACGGATCACAACATCAGTCACATACAGGAATAGTGTAACTTTGGATATTCATACATTCTATAGTCTGGCTGGTTCTCATCCCGTTGAAGGCCTGTTCCCCTGAAAGAGTTCACTGTCAGCTGAATCTGTATTACCAAAGAATGCCGAGTCGCAACATGAAGATGCTATCTGTCTTCTGTCTGCTATTCAGGTGTATCTACTTCATTGGTCTCACTGTGTTTTCTTCTATAACAGCCGCTGAGACCTACACCTTTCTGAATGCGCGACGCCTTATGGAGTATGACAATAGGAAGATTGTAGAGTCAGAAATACACACCTTCACAGTTAGGAGCATGATCGACTGTATTCGTGCATGTTCGGAAGAGACGTACTGCACAAGTTTTCAATTCTTCTCCGGCGGGCCAACCTGTGTCACTCTCCGCGAACGTTTCAGAGGTGTCACTACGAAGACGATTGCTGCCCCTGGGTATCAGCTCTTCCAAACTGACAAACGTAAGTATATTGTGTGACGATGTTCCGAAATCTTAAACCGGCCATGTGCCCATTTACTGTGATAATTCTTTCGACACATTGTATGCATGTCACTCAGTTTATCATTGTGTGCCGTAATCGGAGGCTATATAACAGTCGCTAACGTCCTGGCCGTGATTTTCGAAGCTCTCTTAGCGCTTAGATACTCGTAAGTTACATGGATTAACATTAACTTACGACTATCTTTGCGCTACGAGAGCTTCGAAAATCTAGGCCCAGATTTGAACCAATATCAGTGATATCAAAGAATCATCTTGGTTCAATGCCATAACAATGCCCATGTCAGTATTATTAAAGAGTGAGTGAGTTTAGTTTTGACGCCGCTTTCAGTAATATTCAAGCAATATCACGGCGGGGGACACCAGAAATAGGCTTCACACAATGTGCTCATGTGGGGATTCGAACCCGGGTCTTTGGCGTGACGACTGACTGACTGAGTGAGTTTGGTTTTACCCCGCTTTTTAGCAATATTCCAGCAACATCACGGCGGGGGACACCAGAAATAGGCTTCACACAATGTGCCCATGTGGGGATTCGAACCTGGGTCTTCGGCGTGACGAGCCAACGCTTTAACCATTAGGCTACCCCACCGCCCCGTTATTTAAGAGGAGTCATTCGTGGTTGGTAACGCTAATAGCTCTTCCCTCGTGTGGACCGATGCAGAATGTGTCCACAGCACCCATTGATGGTCGTAAAAGGTATTGAAGAGCAGTCTCCTCGTGGTGGGTGCTGGGTATCGCTAATAACGTCCGCATTGGAACCAATATCAGTGAGCGCTACAAAGAACCAGAATGGTTTAATGCCACTTCGAGGACTGGCATGCTGCTGACCAGTATAGGGTGATAAGGACCAATTTGGATGCAAGTGTTTTTCTTGTATCTTGAAACAAATCTATCTCATGTATAGAAAGTTCTATCTATAGGCATTGTTTCCGCAGACATTACAACATTTTATACACGTTATACATTTACATGATTGTGGATTGCGAGGCCATTTTCCTCAATTCATATCCATGATTTCAAATACACGTGGGTTCTGCCCAGTCTGATTATTTTAATTAGGGTCAGAGGCAGTGTTTTTTCTGTCACTTCATTCATCATTAAAATGAATAACACGTCACAATTTAATTCTTGAAACCCAAAAGTCCAGAATATCCATGAATATATGCGAAGGATGAAAACAATTGTTCGAAAACTTAGTTTTATAACTACCTCGCCCATGTTTACGTGTGCAAAACAATTCATGTTTGGAGGTTGTAAATGAATGAAAGTATGTTTACAAGTATCATGACACAAAATGTATTATGCGTTATTAAAATATCTCGCTCAAGAGACAGAAATGTTGTCCTTGGGCGAGAATAGTACTTCTGCTCAAAACCCAGGATTTTCGTTTTAATACATGTCAGTCCACAATGGGGAAAACATTTTGACCCCCTGGCGAGCAAAACTTTATTTCACAATTCATTTGTTTTGGTTTGCTGGAAAAAAACTATACACTCTTCAAACGGAACAGACAAGTCATTTTTAGAATATTTTTTTTCATCAGTTTAAGAGGAATTATTTCATGTAATTTCAATGTTCAAAAGGTGAAAGTTTACACGTCTCTAGACAAAGAGTTCATCAACACAACAGCAGTCCTTATTGTTGTGGTTGTTTATTGGAATCCAGAAGATGGTGTCTTAGTCAGTCCGAAGTCGCTGTTGCGGAATTCTTCCTACAATGCGATGGCCAGTTCTGGAAGTGTCTGAGGAGTGTTTTGACTTCGATGTACGCATCGATTGAGTTCGACAGCAGACGTGACGCGTGCTTTATGTGAAGTAGTGTTGTCATGCTCCCTCTGCCGGTGCATAATCGGAAGCATGTGACGTGTCAAATTCCCCTGACCCACCACTAAGTCAGATCTTTAGTGTACTGGATATTGCGCCCCTCACGTTGACACTCAATCTGTCGACCTGTCGAATGCAATTAGGGGCAAAGCGTAAACATGCTGTCGTCCACCTCGCCAGTGAAGACGAAATCGTGATGTATCACTGAACCAGACTCCACTGCAGTTTCTAGGGTTCCAGTTCCGGACACTACGACACCACTTCAAACGACTTTGCGATGGAAGTCTCTCAAATCAGGGGCGAAAACTGGCCTTCACGGTCGAATCCCCACTTCACACAATCGATTCCTGACAGTTGGGTGGGAAGTTCTCCCCAAATCAGGTTTGTTTTCTGCAGTCCTCATGACTGGCACACGTGAGCAACACAGATGTAGCGGTCCTTGTCTCGGGTGGTAGCATTTTAACGACAGCTCCTCGGGCGATCTTATGTACCCTGTGACGGGGACAGTAATTTTACAGTTCTTCAATCGTCATCGATGGCACAGCCAGAATCAGTCTCTGTGTATAATTATATCCTACCAAAATATTTTTAAAAAACCATTTCTATGTACATCACAATTTATGAATCAAAGTTATTTCTTTTTAAAAATCCAGAATATAATGAGGTGAGTAGAGTTGAAATTGGGTTCTACGTCATGCTTGAGAATATTTCGCTCATATGACGACGTGCATGCGTGTGTATGTACGGTTGCTTGTACTAGCCCAGACTTAAGCCGGTTTGATAGTGCTAGCCCACTGAGATACCATGCCGCAGTGAAGCATGAATACCCCACTCAGACACATTAGACTGAATCCGAGCCGACCAGTCCTTGTTGTACCCATTAATGCCGAATGCCAGGCAGGGGAAAATAAGTACCATATTTTAACATCTTTTGGTATGACGCAGTCGGGTATCGAACTTGCGACCTTCCGCTCTCGGGGCAGACGCTCTCACCACTACAACACGGAGGCGGTCCTTAGTTTGAGACAGACTCGGATCAGTTTCGACAAGGTAAATTCATTGACACATAGCAAATGCCTTTGTGAATTACTTTTTTGACGAACAGTATCCGAGTGTGTGGCAACAAAAATATATCTCATGCATTATAAAAGCAGCCTGACTTAAATGTTGGATGCAGCTTATAAAGATATACCTGAGCAATGAATGCTTCAACAATTGAGTCGTAAGTAGACAATATACATACTCGTGAGAACCATAAAACATACGGACATACAAACACCAAACTTATTGTAGATTTTGCAATGGATACGAAACAATATCAATGGGTTATTGTTGCCCACCCACCACAATGATATATGTCGCATTTTGACGACGAAGTTGTGCTCGGATGTCGTCAACGTTGGTTTATTCAAAAGGAAGAGAAGCTGCGATATCGACCCGTGGACGTTCTGGACTCATGATCCAACTAGGGTCCATGCAGGTAGCAAAAGTAATGTAAGTCCCCATGGTCCCTGGTCTGGTGATCTACCTTCAGTTATTGGCGATTTATAGTCCATTTTTAAAACTGTATTGTTGTCCCCTATAGTTATAACGTTTTAGATTTAATTACTAGTTTTACATACATATCTGTGATATTCTAGTTGTTTTACTGTCCTTCGTCGGCAGGTTTTTATAATATACATATATTTCATTTCAATATCAAATGTTCTCGTCACGATATGGCTGAAATATTGCCGATGTGACGTTAAATATTAACTCACTCACTCACTCTGGACTCATGGGGAAGCCCGTACATATTTATATATTCTCGCACAGCATACAATCAACGTAGTCCGTACATCATAGCAGACAGGAAATGAACTTACCAACAGAAGTGGACGAAATAAACTCTAGAGTAACGGCATATTTGGAATACTATCTATGGTGCGCCTATGACGCAGTGGTATGGAAATTTATAAAAACGTATGAGAGGGAGACAGAGCATGATTTCGATACAAGTTGTCATACGTCTATGAAAGCGATAGACGAAGATGCGGTAATTCTGAAGTGGCGTCAGTACGTGGATGGTGATCCGTATCTATGCGTCAGCTCTCCATTATATTTTCTGAAATATCAAAGTAGAGACTACCGAGAAATCAGTGTGAAAACCGACCAGTGGATGAACCATATCAAACGGACGCTTAAACGTTGGTGTGGGAAAGTATAGTCATGTAGGTTGATTATCAACAGGAATACTATGATCCTAGGAAACAAGGCGCTCTCGCGGGTACAAAAAAATTTTTACACTGCCCTTAAGCGTTGTAACCGTAACGTTTCTTCTCATGACGTACGAAGATGGATGAGAACGCAAGACGCCTACAACCTACATCGTTTACCCAAGATACGATTTTCAAGAAATAAAGTCATCGTGGGAGGAATCTACGTACAGGCAGAAGGAGACCTGTAGGCAAGCGCAAGACAACGATGGAATTAAGTATATTCTCATCGTAATCGACTGCTTTTCGAGATATGTCTTAGTCCAACCTATGGATACTAAAGAATCAAACACGACCACCAAAGCGATGAGGGAACTATTGTCATCCATGGAGAAACCGCCATACAGTCTAAGAATGGACAAAGGAACAGAATTTAATAATGAAACAGTGTGACAGATTTACACTCTATTTAACGTCAAACATTTTGTAACGTAAAACTCAGACATTAAAGCGAACTACGTCGAACGTTTCATTCGTACTTTGAGATCTATGATGTATCGATTCTTCACGTACAGTCATACCCATAGGAACATCGACGTATGACAAGACCTTGTTTATAACTACAACCATCGCCCGCACAGGAGCCTGAGAGAAAGAGCACCCGTGGAAGTGAAACCCATCAAACATTGCTAGCATATGGTTGGATATATACGCAACAAAGCGAAAAAACAAACCTCTATGAAACAACAGCTTTGCATTTAAAGTAGGAGACAACGTCAGAGTATCATTGGTCAAGAGGGTTCGAGAAGGAATACGAACAGAAATGGTCGGAAGAAGTATTAATGATATGTCAGTGTCAACTCAGAGACAATATACGCGTATATTGGCTAGAAGCCCTCCAATCCGATCCCATTTAAGGATTCTTTTATCGAAACGAGTTG